GATGGATGGTCTAATACAGCTCCAATAAACTGAACAAGATTAGGATGACGTAACTGTGATATTGTATCAATTTCATGATGAAACAAGTCCATATTATGTTGGCTCTCTATTGTTTCATGTAACTGCTTTACAGCAACTCTTAATTGGCCAACCCACACCACACCCCATCCTCCTCTACCCAGCTCTTCTCCTGAGAGAGAAATTTCTCTATGACTCAATTTCCAGCTGTTTTTTTCTGATGGTGATGTTACTAATGCCTAGGATATTGACAAAAAAGGGTAATGAAACAACAACCCTAAATTCATGATTAAATTTTAAACATACTCTATTAGCTTGCTTTATTTCTTCTACTTGATCCTTCAGTCTAGTAACCATTGCTTGTTCCTGATGATATGCTCTCATTGCTTTTTCTTTATCAGCAGACACGTTATCTAACAGTTGTCTCATCTTATCCAGCTTATTATCCTACAGTATCAGTCAATTAAACACACATACACACACAGAGTATCCGGCATTATTACCAGTTGTTGCTTTTCTTTAGCAAGCCTCTCATTTGCACCCTGAAACTACAAGTAAAAGACAAATAAAACTGAGTGCAAACAATCATACATATTATATACCATTTGTTGTAGTTGCTGTACTTGTTGTTTTGATTTCTCTCGTAACTCAACAGTCTAAAAATTAAAAAAGCAACACGAACCAACTGTATTTCCTCTTTCACCTTCAAATTACATACATGTATGTGCCATTAAAAATATTTGCCCTGAATTCTTATTGCATCTTGCACATGCACAGTAGTATTAATACAGGGGTTGTATAGGAAGCTCAGAAAACCAGGGCAGCTGTAAAGAAATGAAGCTGAACTATCTGCCCCAGTATTGTATGATTTGTATCTGCAGTGCTCAACGAAATATGATGCTTTACTTTATTTAAGACATTTTGTAAAATAATATTAAACACATACAATATACACATTAATATATTACTATTTGTTGCTTGGATTTTATTTCATTAGCAAGCCTCTCATTTAACTGATTAACCTATATAATACATGAAAACAATCTGCATATACATGTACATGTACCTCAGTTTTGTGTTTCTCTTGACTCTGAGTTACTAATCTTTTTTGCTTGTCTACTTCATGACTGTAAGCATTCACTTGTGCTGTTAGCACTTCCATTATTTCTTCCATTTCTTTCATTTTTTCCGTCTCTGCTGCTTCTGACTCTTTGAGTTTCTACATGTATACTCAGTAGTAAAGTATACTATTAAAAATATGACACCTTTTTTATTTTTCTCATTTCTTCATTGTGTTGTTTCTCCAGTTGAGCATTCTTTTTAACTAAAGATTCAATTTCAGCACCTTTAGTAGCTATTTCCTTCCTATTCTATAATTAAATCAGTAATGAATATTACATTAAATATTCTTTAACAAACCTCTTCTAAATCACACACTAAAGAACTGTTTGATTGTATGAGGTTATGAAGCTTCATTTGTGCTTCTTTCTCTTTCTCAACTGATTCTTGCTTTAATAATTCATGTAGTACTTGCATTTTTATTAGTTGATCATTTATTTTTACTCGGTCATTCCTCTCTCTTTCAAAATCTTGCTTGAATATTGCATTCTAGTAAATATACACATTGTTAGCACTTACATCCGTGAATATAAAATTTTCATAATTGTTTTGGCAAT